TGTGTTAGATGCTCATTGGAGATTCATGATTGTGTTCTTGACATGAGCTCAGCTAGCAATCAGGTATACAGTGTTCTCCATCAGTGGTTAGCTGTGCAGGTGCATGGTACAAGAACAGGGATGGCAATATTGGAAGAAAGTAAGCCTGAACCAAGGGATCTCCAATTCAAGAATCATGCTTTGCTCACAATTCAACTCTTCAAAATTTAATTTGTCTAAATTTTTTTCTCTTATCAAAACAATTCTAGAAGCCAACTACAGGCTATATCCTAGACCCAGAAATTTTGAACTGGATAAGGGAGGATGACAGAGAATACCACCATAATGACATAGAAAGGGGGATCACAGGGCCAGGTTGAAGTCTCCTAGGGATTTTTTAAAACACATGTTGTTGCATTCCAGTGATGTTAAAAAACAACACTCAAGGAGAATATGGATCCACAATGGAGAATTTCTGTTTTAGTGGACATTATTACTAATGGAAGTAGATCAATTCCTCCAAGTAGATAAAATGCAAAGACAAGTTGTGAATGATTAGTACAGTTCATAAACATCTAGAAATTTAAAAAGTAATCATGAACACACCCATGCACAATATGGCTTAGTAGAATAGAAACTGACCAAAGCTCTCATTTCCTTTTCTGATTATATTAAAAGACTGTTAAATCAGGAAGGTGAGTAAACAAGGATAAGGATTTTTTTTTCTTCTTCTTGAGAATAAGAGAGGGAGCTGTGGTCAAATTATCAAGCAATTTTAAGGGTCCAACTAATGTTGAAAGTTAGGCATGTCTCTAATCTGTATGTTTTTGGTAATGTTCTTCTAAGTCTGTAGAGCATGAATGTCAGGTCAAAAAATGTGCTTTTCATGTTGGCTGTCTGCCTCCTGTGACTGGGAGAAAGATGCAGGGAGAAAAAACATCGAAGGTGCTGGTAAAGGATTAAAGTGATGATCCAGTGAATGGAACCTGGTTGACTAGAAAAAGAAAGGAGGTGAGAAGGAGACTGATGAACTGAGATGGGAAGAAATGCAGACAAGCAACCCTGAATCTTATTGAATTGAAGAGCTGGTATGGTAGAAATCAAGACATGGATGATCACAGTTTTTCATAAAAGCTTCCTGTAAAGGAATTTGATGTTTCTGATCATTACTAGTTGTGGGCCCACCCAAGAAGTTCATCCTTCAGTCTTTCAGAGATAAAAAAAGACAGACAAAATGTTTATTAAATTACCCCCTGAAAGTCAAAGTCTTTGTTCCTTAGAACTTTTAAAGTTGAATTGGTATTGAAACATATGGGACATGATCTGGTCAACTTAGTATCTCATGCTTTTAATTTTCATTTGGTATTTTTAAATACCTCTCCATGAAAGAGCAAACCAAATTGTCTTTTTTTTTTTCCTCACCAATATAATTAAAAGAGACAGGCTGAAAAAAAGACCTACAGATGGGTCATGCTGAGCCTTGCCAAAGCATGAGATCTGGATATGAAGTAAATCTCATTAACTGCCACAATTGATGGCCTCAGCAGAGAATAAGGCTTATAATTAAAAGTTATGAAGTGCTTACAGTGCCCTGGAGAGATTATAAAATAGAATTGGGTTTATTAGTACACATTCGAGCAGAGGGTTTTTTGAAGTTGGGCTATTTCTAACTTCACATGGATAGGCAGACCCCTCTTGAAAGTTCCATTATGTTTAGTGTTTCATGAAATGTCATCAATGTCTTTGATATTCTATCCATTTCCTTAATTATAAACACATATTTCTTCTCTATTGCAAGGTTCCTTCTTAACTTCACAGAACTTCCAGTGAAAGAGAAAATTTGGATACCACACTTGAAAGTGGCATACGAACTTGGATTAACTAGCACTAGTTAATTAACTAGTACTGTTCCCTTAAAGAACTGTTAGATTCATTCAGATAATTACCTTTTGATGAATGGGCTTTTACTAGTATAACTCCATGCATTCTATGGAGATACAAATCAGAACTGGAAAAGACATCTGCAAACATCTGGCTGGCCCCTTCCAAAGCAATAACACTGCAGTTTATTTCTTGACACACTGTGCAGACTCTTCCAGTCATTCTGAGTCTTATATATTAAAAGTTTTCAAGAGAACATACTGGTTTGATATTTATATATTATTCCCCCCCCAAAAAAAAATCAAATAACTGTATATATACATTTTCATTTCTAATCACTTATCTGATTATTTGTTTAAATATTGTTGCTCACAAGGTTAGTACCTCAAGAAACGAAGCAAGTATCTATTTCTGTAATCCCCATGAAAGAGCTAAATGTATGTTCTGGGTCTCTGTCCTCTAGAAACAGAAGTACCAATAGGTGAGCAGCTTCAAATTAGAAAGGTTATTGCAATATTTTATTCAAACAATGGCAAACTGAAACTAATCCAAATATCCATCAACTGATGAATAATAGACAAAGTTATGGTAAATCAATAGTACAGAATATCCAGTTAGCTTCAAAAAAAAAATGAGTGGAACTATGTCAATCTACCTGGAGGTGTGCCCATGATATATTGCCAAATGAGAAAAGCAACTAAAATATAGCGTATAATTTCAAATTGTAAAAATAAGCAGTGACACCCTGTGCACAATGCATGAGTTTATAGTTGTGGAGGAACATTCATGAAACTATATTGGGGTATCTCTGGGATGATGAGGAAGTCAAGGAAAGACAGTGTGGGAAGAGATAAATAGTGCTAGCAAAATACAAAAATAGTCATGCCACAATGCTAAGGGGAAATGCAGAATGTTTTTAGCAATTTTTTTTTTTTTAAAAAAAGAAAAGTTCACCTTCATCACTGGTTGATGTCAGGCCTGATTCTTAAGACCTTACAAAGACATCTCACTTCATGCCCACATCAACCCTGTGAGGTGGGGATTGTAAAGTTCTCCATTTCACTGAAGAGGTGATGGTGGCCCAGAGAAGATAATGAATTATCTCATGGTTATGCAATAAGTGACAAAGCTTAGCAAAAATAATATTATGCCAACAGACAAAGGAAAAAAAAGTTGTAAAATTGCCTTTTTTTTTCCCCTAGAATAAACCACACCAAGTAAAAATGATCAATTAGGTAATAGAACTGTGGATTATTTTTCTCTTCCATCTTTGCTATTATTTAACCTTATTTTGAAACAGGGTGGGGTTGTGGCTCAGTGGTAGAGCGCTCGCCTAGCATGTGCGAGGCGCTGGGTTCGATCCTCAGCACCACATACAAATAAAATAAAGATATAACAAAATAAATAAATAGAATGAAATGGGTGGTTTGGGTGATTTAGTAGTTTTTAAAACCTGTTTTTGAGTTCTTTGACACTCCTCACTCCCTTTGAATTTGGTGGGGCTTGGGATAATTCTAACAAAACACATAGCAATACTAATGTTATGTGTCTTTGGAAGCTGAGTTTTAAAAGGTGACACAGCTCTTCCTGGCTCACTTTTTGGGAAGCTGGCTCTGGAGGATGCCAGTCACCATGATATGAGCCCATATGGAGAGGACCTGAGGTCCTAGTCAAGACAGTTTCCACTGCCAGACTTCAGAAGTTCAGCTCTGGCCTTAGAACCTTCCAACTGAGGCCCCAGATGTTGATGAAAAGTGACAAATTGCACCCACTATTTTCTGCCTGAATATCTGACCCCGAGAATCTTCTGTGAGCAAAATAAATGTTTGGGTGATTGTTGTTGTTGTTACTATTTTGTCTTTTGTTTGGGGTTTTGCAATTTTTTGTTGTTGTTGTTGTTTCTAAATTACACAGCAACACATAGCTGGAACGGATGAGGACCTTTTTCAGTGATGTTTGTCAGGTTGAGGGAGGCTTCCCTTTGGTTCTAGTCTTGTGTTCCCTAAAGAGATACAGTGGTAGCTAACTTTATGAATCAACTTGGCTGGACCACAGTGCCCCAATATTTGGTCAAATATTATTCTGGATGTTTCTGTGAAGGTGTTTTTGAGTGAGATCAGTGTTTAAAATAGTAGGCTTTGAGTATAGCAGATTACTTTCTATGATATGGGTGGGCCATATCATTGATCATCTGGAGACTTTAAGAGAACAAACACTGATCACCCCTAAGCAAGAAAGAATTCACCAGCAGCCTCATCTGTTACAACTCTTGCCTGCGTCTCTAGCCTGTTCTCAATCACATTATGGATTCACCTAGTCCCCACAATTACATGAGCCAATTCCTTAAAATCAGACATTCTCTTTCCCCCTCCCTCCCTCCCTCTCTCTCTCTCTCCCTCTCCCCCCTCCAACTTTCTCTCTCTCTCTCTCTCTCTCTCTCTCTCTCTCTCCACACACACACACACACACACACACACACACACCTTCATATCTTCAGGTATCACCGTGGTGAACTTAACTTGGAAAATATCTGGAAAAAATTTGTCTGTATTGAACACGTCTAAATGTTTTTTTTCTTGTCATTATTCCCCAAACAATTCATGTCATATTTTGGATGTGAGGTGTCCCCCCAAGGCTCATATGTGACGATGCAAGAAGGTCTAGAGGAGATAAGATTGGCTAAATCCAATCAATAAATCAGCCCCCCTGAAGGGATTAATTGGGTGGTGGCTGAAGGCAGGTAGGTTGTGGCTGGAGGAGGGGGTTATTGAGGGTGTGCCTTTGGGGTACTTATTTTGTATCTGTCACTGGAGTCTCTCTCTCTGCTTCCAAATCATTATGTGATCCACTTCCCTCTACCACACTCTTCTGCCAGGATGTTCTGCCTCACCTTGAGTCCAGAGGAATGGAGCCTGCTGTCTATGGATTGAGACCTCTGAAACCTTGAGCCCCCAAATTAACTTTTCATCCTCTACAATTGTTTTAGTCAGATCTTTTAGTCACAGCAGCAAAAAAGCTGACTAAAACAACTCAGTATAGCAACAATTGACAAAGCATTTACATTATAATTAGTTGTTACAAAAATGATCAGACCCAGGCAGAGTAAAAATAAAATAATATAAAACAATAGTGTAACTTACCCCTCTAAACAGTGGGCAACTGTCAGAACCCACTTCCTGGCAATGAGAACACAGCCACAGATATGTCCACTGGGTTCACTCTGCAGAGAGCACTGCCACGGCCACCTTCCAGGGCGACTTGTCCGACCCCCAAGGATCCTCTTGTTCAAGCGGGCAGCAGGCCGGCGCCCACAGTCTATCAAAGAGCAGAAGACAGTTTGTGACTCTAAACCCAGATAAATATTAGGTCTTCAGTGTCACATGCAAGTGGTCATTTTTCCCTTGAACCAACTGAGGTAAACTAAATTCATATCCTACTGCTGGGCCACCAATTCACTCACCTTGTTTAGTACACAGAAGAGAGATCTTTCTTCTGCTTGGACAAGATTGCCTACATTTGGGAACATAAAATGGTATAATATTAAGTTACATACTTACTATTCACTCCAAATGTTTTACCAGGGAAAGACAAGATTTGAGCAATAATTATCTTTAGTGTAGGAATTCTCAAGGCAGAGAAGGTTAGACATCAACTTGAGGGAAGGGGTATAAGGAGATTGTGTATTTTATTCACATCAATTTATTCCTATATTCATAATATAATTTCACCTCCTGGGAAGAGAAACTATTGGAAAAAGTTTCCCACATGATCTTGACTGTACCATCCACAATATTGATTTTAACCATGTTTCCTAATGTAGGTAAGGTGCAGGGAGAATAAGACTGATTGCCCAAAATCTGTGTAGAGGGAGGGGCAAGTCAGATGTTTATAGTTATGGAGAGGATATGTTCTCCCCAAAAGTTGAGAGTCTGAGAGAAATGAAATATTACTTCAAAACTTAAAGAACAGGTAAAGGAACAGAATATTTAGACTGGAAAAAATCTTAAAATTGTCTAAGTTAAATATTTTGTAAGTTCTTTTTAGTTATACATGACAGTAGAATCCATTTTGATAAAATTATACAAGCATGGAATATATCTTATTCTGATTCTTGTGGATGTACACAATGGTGAGATTCACTTAGATATTTTCAGACATATATACATAGGAAAATTATGTTACATTCATTCTACTGTCTTTCCTATTTCTATCCCTCCTCCCTTCCCTTCATTCCCCTTTGTCTAATCTATTGAATTTATATTCTTCCCCTCCCTGCCCCCTTTATCATGGTTTACCTTCTACATACCAGTGAAAATATTCAACCTTTGATTTGGGGGGATTCGTTTATTATTAAATTTTGGATACATGAAGAATTGCCATGAGAAAAGGAGATTTATTCCATATAACTCCACATGGCATGATCAGAACCAGTGAGTAGAACTGATAGGATATGTGAGTTCAGGAAGGGAGAAGAACTTTCTAAAAATCCCATTTAAACTTTAAAGGCAAAAACATGGACTGTGTTTCAGAATCTCTCAATGTGGTGCACAGAAGAATTCAGTCTCGGGTAGGTAAAATTTTTATCACCAAGTTCTCTTCCCACCATGAAACATTTATTCACAATGTAAATTAAAAAGAAAATATAGATACTTTAAGACTCCCCCAAACTGTGATATGCTAGGAATCTTGGATTCCCACATTAAACAAAGATTCATTCTTATTTTGTCATTTCCACATTCACCTTCACAGATTTCCTGTATGTTTTCATGTTTTGCTAAATTTACGTGGGGGGGCACATGTAATTATTGATAATTATATAATATAGGAAACACTCATTTGTTTTCCACCTTCCAACAATCTAAAATTCTCTCTCCTTGTTCTCTACCTTTATATCCTTAACTTGTAGTACTCCCTAATATCTGAAATTATTTATGTACACCAACTTACAATTACTCCATCCACCCAAATTACACATGTTCCTTGAGATCAGAGTCTTATATTCTGTCATTTACTTCAACATCCCCTTAAAGCCTAGAACTGAACCCAGTGTAGAAGAGATACTCAATAATTAGCTGTTATTTTTTAGATTAAAAATTTATAGCTTTTAGATATAGGAAAAGTTATCAAAGAATCTCCATCTTAACTCCTTACAGCAACTGTGGTTATATAAGATACCACATTTAGTAAGCCAGAACTAGAATTATGTCCACAAACTCCCAATTTAGTACAAGTTATTTATTTATTCATTTATTTGACCTAAAAGGCCTTTTCTGGCATTCTGAGTCTACAGAAATACCACTCTCTTGAAAGATTCAGGTAATTGTTTGGGAGAAAATGCTTCATTTGACAAATATTCAGACATATGGGTTACAGAATTTGGTTTGTGTAGAAAATCTTAGGTTATGCTAAGGGGAAATAGGCTTTTGTTTTCTTTTCTGAAATTTTAAGAGAAGTGATTTCCCTAGCACTTATTATAAGCTTTGGAGTCAGAAAAACAATTTAAATTCAGAAACTATCACTATCTGTGGGCTGTGAGCTTTCACAAGTTATGTGAACATTCTAAATCCCAGTTTCCTCATTTGTGAAAATTGGAAAATTATCACTAGCTGATAAATCTCGTGTGAGGATTAAATGAGAAATGTATGTAAGACTACCTAGATGAATACCTATAATGTAAGAGAAAATTTCCTCAATTTATCTTCCTCTACATCCCACCCATAGACAAGGGAGATAGCTCTTTATAAGATGTCATTATTTCTGGTATGAGAGAGAGACTTAAGTGCATTTTCAAGGCTCCATGATTAAAACTTCATTTTATGTCTATTCTTTTCTCAGACTCTCCAGGTTTTTAGCTATTACTTTGATTTTCTCTGCTGATTAATTTCAGGTGGCATTAGTAGGGAATTCAGACATGACAGTTTATTTTCAATAGGATATTAAAACAACTGTAGGTTTAGAACTCAAGTTCCTTATTTTCACAATGATAGTTTCTATCATTCTGATTAAAGAAAGATGTAATTAGCCCCAAATAAAAATAAATCTATGTCTAGAAAGAAGAAATAAAATCAAATGATGTTGAAATGTAAAGGCTAATAGCCATTCTATGAAGACTCTTTATTGATGTGACAAATTTGGATTATCTGAAATTAAAAATGGAAAGAGGCCCTGATGATAAATTATTACTCCATAATCTGACCACACATACCTCTTATGAAAGACCTCTCACCTGTGGACCATCAGTTCATGCAAAGTGGTTCCATTGAGGCTCGTCCAGTTGGACTGCACCATCAGCCACTGCTGGTCTTGTTCCTGTTCTTGTATCAGTTCAGTCACAGATGGTTCTCTAGTATAGAGCAAATTCCAGATAAATATCCAAAGTACAGTGATTTTTTTAACATATATTATTGATAATTTGCACTTCTTTTTCATAAAGAAACATTACTTGTAAATCAATATTTTAAGAGGAGAATTTGGATTAAGAGAGATTTGGTATGGAACATGATTAGCTAGCAGGGAAGTTATGAAAAATATTCCGGAGATAATAAAAAATCCAAACTATTACAGCTATTTTAATCATTCTCTCTGTTGACATGCATTTGAACATCATGAGGTGTTAGAACTCTAATTATACAGGTAAAACTTTCAACATCTAAAAAATAAGAGTCACTAAGCAGGAATAAAAGTAAAATAATGGGGAGAGAAGATGGCGGCGAGGGGAGTGCATTGCCCCCGTGTGCTGCTTCACTGTGTGGGAGTATGACAAGTCGGGACGGCTAAAGGCTATCTTGTTAGGAATTTCCAGCAATAGTGGGGTGCTCCGGAACCTGGAGGAAGGATTTCCATCGCACGAGGATCGGTTACGGGGACTCAAACGCGAGAGATTTGTCACACGGAGGGTAACACTGCTTATTCAGCAAATCGCCCCGCGGCTAGAGTCTGCAGCACATGCGCTGGGAAACGAGGAGGAGATAGTGGCGCAGGGATACAGCGCTGCAGTTTCTGCCAGCCATGCAAGCACCGTACTCAGGGCTGAATTCTGGGTTCGAGACGGGGGAAAGAAGCAGTCCATTTTGGTTCTCCACACCGGTCAGACCACAGAGGAGGCCAGAGGCCACCATCTTGAAGAGCTGACGTCACCATCCCTGTTTTCGACTGACCGCAGCTCATTCAGCCATAGAACAGGTAATTTCAGGCTGCCATTCGCCTGCGGCTTGCGGACAGATTGCTCGGGCTCAGTGCCTGGGTGCTTCTTGGAGCCTGCTCTTATCGGAGAGGGCACCGAGCGCGGGGCGGCCGAGTTCCGGCTCCCGGAACTGCCCAGGCCCAGGGCTGGGGAGCCCGCGGGGACTGCTTCTTGGAGCCTGCTCTTATCAGAGCATACACCGAGCACGGAGCAGCCGAGTTCCGGCTCCCGGAATTGCTCTGTCCCAGGGCTAAGGAGCCCGCGGAAACTGCTTCTCGGTCCGGGTCCTGCTGAGGGCCGGTCAGGACTCACCCGTTGCTTTGGTTGCCCGGCACGGGGAACGAAATGCTGCCATTCGCATAGGATACCAACATGGCAGAGATCTGATGTCATCAGAAAGCGGAGGAGGAGAGAACTTCATCAATACCAGCAGTGACAGAAACAGTTTTTGGTCTCCTGGTGGGGGGGTGAGGCACAGACACCCGAGTCTCTCTCGATTTGTCCTGGAGCCAGAGGGGAGGAGCCGGGCCGCCGCCCGCGCCCGGAGCAGGCCCAGCGGCTCGCCGGCGTGGTGATCGCGTGACCCCAATTGGAGAGGGGGCGGAGCAGAGCCACCACCCGCGCCCGCAAGGTGGGCAGACCAGCAACCCAGTGGTACACGGGCGTGGTAGGAGGGGCAGGGCAGAGCCGCCGCCCGCGCCTGCAAGGTAAGCAGACCTGCGACAGACTGGCGGGTCAGGCCCAGCGGCCTGCCAGCGTGGTACACAAGTCACCCCAACTGGAGTAGGGGCAGAGCAGAGCCTTTGCCTGCGCCCGGATCAGGCCCCGCAGGTGTGGTGGTCATGTGACCCCAATTGGAGTGGGGGCGGAGCGGAACCGCCACCCATGCCCGCAGGGTGAGCAGACCTGTGACCAACCTGCAGATCAGGCCCAGCGGCCCATACGCGTGGTAGGAGGGGCAGGGCAGAGCCGCCACCCGCGCCTGCAAGGTAGGCAGACCTGCGACAGACCGGCGGATCAGGCCCAGGAGCCTGCCGGTGTGGTACACCCCAATTGGAGTAGGGGCAGAGCAGAGTCGTCGCCCGTGCCAGGAACAGGCCCAGCGACCTGCCGGCGTGGTAGTCACGACACCCCAATTGGAGTAGGGGCAGAGCAGAGCCGCCACCCGTGCCCGAAAGGTGGGCAGACCTGCGACCGACCAGCGGGACAGGCCCAGTGGCCTGCCGGTGCGACAGACACGTCACCCCATTTGGAGTAGGGGCAGAGCAGAGCCGTCGCCCGCGCCTGCAGGGTAGGCAGACCTGCAACCGACCGGCGGATCAGGCCCGGTGGCCTGCCAGCGTGGTACACACGTCACCCCAATTGGAGTAGGGGCAGAACAGAGCCGCCGCCCACACCCAGAACAGGCCCAGTGACCTGCCGGCGTGGTAGTCACGACACCCCAATTGGAGTAAGGAGAGAGCAGAGCCGCCGCCCGCGCCTGCAAGGTAGGCAGACCTCCGCCCGAACCTGCAAGGGAGACTTTTCAACTATACAAGAGCAATATAAATATATAGGAGAAAAAAACATTTCAAAAACACAACAGTTTCACCAAGCAGAAAGAAACGCAAGCAGTATGAAAAGACGAGGAAAGAAAGGACCACAGCAATGCAGGTCAACTCAACTTTAGAAGAGGTAACAGCTGCAGCAGATGGAATGTCAGATAAAGAATTCAGGATATACATGCTTCAGATGATCTGGAGTATCAAGGAAGACATTAGACAGCAAAATCAGACAATGAAAGATCACTTCGACAATGAATTACACAAACAAATCCAGGAAGCAAAGGATCAACTATACAGGGAGATAGAGGTTATAAAAAACAAACAAACGAAATCCTAGAAATGCAGGAAGCAATAAACCAACTTAAAAACTCAATGGAGAATACTACCAGCAGAGTAGAACACGTAGAAGATAGAACATCAGACAATGAAGACAAAGTATTTCAACTGGAAAAGAACATAGACAGCTCAGCAAGAATGTTAAGAAACCATGAGCAGAACATCCAAGAAATATGGGATAACATTAAGAGACCAAACTTAAGAGTCATTGGGATACAGGAAGGTACAGAACTCCAAACCAAAGGAATGAGCAATCTATTCAATGAAATAATACGAGAAAACTTCCCAGACTTGAAGAATGAGACAGAATCCCAAATCCTAGAAGCGTACAGGACGCCGAATGTGCAAAATCATAAGAGATCCACACCTAGACACATTATAATGAAGATGCCCAACATACAGAATAAGGAGAGAATTTTAAAAGCTACAAGAGAAAGGAAGCAGATTACATTTAGGGGTAAGCCAATCAGGATAACAGCTGATCTTTCAACACAGACTCTGAAAGCTAGAAGATCCTGGAATAACATATTTCAAACACTGAAAGAAAATGGGTTCCAACCAAGAATTGTGTATCCAGCGAAATTAAGCTTCAGGATGGAAGATGAAATTAAAACCTTCCATGATAAACAAAAGTTAAAAGAATTTGCAGCTGGAAAACCATCTCTTCAAAACATCCTCGGCAAAACATTACAGGAAGAAGAAATGGAAAATAACAATGAAAACCAACAGTGGGAGGTAGGACAGTAAAGGGGGGAAAATAATCAAAGAGGAAAACAAACCATGTTTAGTAACATAAATAAACAAATATGGCTGGAAGAACAACCCATATCTCAATAATAACCCTAAATGTTAATGGCTTAAACTCACCAATCAAGAGACACAGGCTAGTAGAATGGATCAAAAAACAAGACCCAACAATATGCTGCCTACAGGAGACGCATTTGATAGGAAAAGACATACATAGGCTGAAGGTGAAAGGTTGGGAAAAATCATACCACTCATATGGACTTCGGAAACAAGCAGGAGTATCCATACTCATATCAAATAACATAGATTTCAAGCCCAAGTTAATCAAAAGGGATAAAGAGGGACACTACATACTGCTCAAGGGAACCATACACCAACAAGACATAACAATCATAAATATATATGCCCCAAACAATGGTGCAGCTATGTTCATCAAACAAACTCTTCTCAAGTTCAAGAGTCTAATAGACCACCATACAATAAACATGGGAGACTTCAACACACCTCTCTCGCCACTGGACAGATCTTCCAAGCAAAAGTTGAATAAGGAAACTATAGAACTCAGTAGCACAATTAATAACCTAGACTTAATTGACATATATAGAATATACTACCCAACATCAAGCAGTTACACTTTTTTCTCAGCAGCACATGGATCTTTCTCAAAAATAGATCATATATTATGTCACAGGGCAACTCTTAGACAATATAAAGGAGTAGAGATAATACCATGCATCTTATCTGATCATAATGGAATGAAACTGAAAATCAACGATAAAAGAAGGAAGGAAAAAGCATACATCACTTGGAGAATGAACAATAGGTTACTGAATGATCAATGGGTTATAGAAGACATCAAGGAGGAAATTAACAAATTCTTAGAGATAAATGAAAACACAGACACAACATATCGGAATCTATGGGACACATTGAAAGCAGTTCTAAGAGGAAAATTCATTGCTTGGAGTTCATTCCTTAAAAAAAGAAAAAACCAACAAATAAATGATCTCATACTTCATCTCAAAATCCTAGAAAAAGAAGAGCAAAACAACAGCAAAAGAAGTAGAAGGCAAGAAATAATTAAAATCAGAGGTGAAATTAATGAAATCGAAACAAAAGAAACAATTGAAAAAATTGACAAAACTAAAAGTTGGTTCTTTGAAAAAATAAACAAAATCAACAGACCCTTAGCCATGCTAGGGAAGAGAAGAAGAGAGAGAACTCAAATTACTAGCATATGGGATGAAAAAGGCAATATCACAACAGACACTTCAGAAATACAGAAGATAATCAAAAATTATTTTGAATCCTTATACTCCAATAAATTAGAAGATAGTGAAGGCATAGATAAATTTCTTAAGTCATATGATCTGCCCAGATTGAGTCAGGAGGATATAGACAACCTAAACAGACCAATATCAATTGAGGAAATAGAAGAAACCATCAAAAGACTACCAACTAAGAAAAGCCCAGGACCGGATGGGTATACAGCAGAGTTTTACAAAACCTTTAAAGAGGAACTAATACCAATAC